CTTCCTCCTCCTCTTCCTCCTCCTCTTCCTCCTCTTCTTCCTCCTCTTCTTCCTCCTCTTCTTCCTCCTCTTCTTCCTCCTCTTCTTTCTTCTTTCTTCTTCTTCTTCATCTTCTTCTTCTTCTTCTCTTCCCACCCTCCTTGCTCTCTTCTCCTCCTCCCTCTCACCGTCTTCCCACCAGGGAAACACTCGTGAGCCGTTGAAACCTACTTCTCTTTCTCTCCACCGGCTGCAGTGCCGAAGATCGAACCCCCAGCCCTGTGAAGCAGCTTTCCACACTCTCAGCCCTGGACTGCTTTTCCGCCTGTTCCCCTCCTCTTGTCTCCTTTCATCCTGATCTTTCGTCCTTGCCTCTCATCCTCCGTTCTCCTTCCCCCAATCTCCCCACTTCTCCTCTCCCCCCCTCCCTTCCATCCCCCCAGGGCGACACATGTGAGTCGCTAGCCACCTACTTCTCCCTCACAACCGGATGCCCTACTCCCACTGAGCCCTGCGCAGCAGCCTTCCAGGCGCTCAACCCCGGGCTGGACTGCTCCGGCAGCGGGGAGCTGGTGGGCAGCCAGGCGGTGTGTGTGGAGCGGCGGGCGGAGAGTGCAGCGGCGCTGCTCATCCCGGTGTGCTCGCAGTTCTATCTGGTGCAGGCCGGGGAGACGTGTGACCAGATCCGCTCCGTGCCCTCCCCGCCGCTCTCCCCTCTCGAGTTCTTCCGCCTCAACCCTGGCATCAAGTGCAGCCGCCTCGTGCCCAAGACTGACGTCGGCAGCCTCACAGGCTTCGAGGTCTCCCACTCCTCTCCTCCCGCACCCTTCCCCCAAAACACCCTCTTCCCTCATCGCCTTCCCTTCCCCTTTCCCACACTCTTCCTCCTTCCACCCTCTCCCCTCTTTCCCCCTCTTTATCCCAGCACCATTTCCCTTTCCTCCCTGCCCCTATCCTCCTGCGTCTGCTTTCCCCTCCTACCTGCCCCTAGGCATGCTGGTTAACTTGCTTGCCTGGCTATTGCTTGGGTCTCGACTCCACTCCTCCCCTGTACACCTCGACACCTTCATTCTGCATCGCCCATCCATTTGCATTGCTCGTCCACTCCGCCTCTGCGTTTCATTGTCTGCCGCTTCTCACCCAGCACGAACGTTCAGACACCTCCTTGAGCCTCCCTTCCCTCTTTCACCTCACCGTCATGCATCTCTTGGCAGCTAATTATCACCTCGCTGCCTACCTAGCTACCTCGCTACCTACCTAGCTATCTCGCTACCTACCTAGCTACCTACCTACCTACCTACCTACCTACCTACCTACCTACCTACCTACCTACCTAGCTACCTACCTACCTACCTACCTACCTATCTACCTACCTACCTACCTACCTACCTGCCTTCCTACCTACCTACCTACCTACCTACCGACGTACGTACCTACCTACCGACTTGCCTGCCTACCTACCTATCTACCTACCTACCTACCTACCTACCTACCTACCTACCTACGTCCAAACTTCCTACCCACCTACCTACCTACCTACCTACCTACCTACCTACCTACCTATGAGCCTACCTACCTACCTACCTACCTACCTACCTACCTACCTACCTACCTACCAACTTTCGTACCTACCTACCGACTTACCTACTTACCTACCTATCTATTGACCTACCCAACGACCTATGTTTCCGCCTCTGTGCCTTGCTTCTTTTTCCCTGTGCTCTCTTTCCCCTTTCTCCCCCCACCTCTCTGCGCACACTCAACTGCACGGCAAGAGCAGGCGTGCATAGGCAGCTCGTTCAGCTTCACGCAAGGAGTGTGCCCCAAGACTCGTGCGTACGTGGTTGGGACTGGCGACCGCTGCACTGGCCTGCAGGTCAAGTACTTCCGTGGAATCAAAGGGTGCTACAGGAGGACCAACGGGTACGATTGCATCGATAAGCTCGTCAAAGCCACCAGAGTGTGCATTCCGGACCAAGAGAAGATCAAGGCCGGGAAATGCGAACCTTGACATGGACTTACTCCCCTCCGCTTATTCATATATCTTCACACCCGCTTTTCTCAGGGTTGTGAACCATGTATGTACAGACGATGTCTATTTTAGTGGATCCTTCGTGGAATTCCTAGCATTCTTTGGAAAAGCGCTCAGAAACTGTTACCACAGCCCTCGACACTCATACCTTCGAGTTTAGCTGGGGTTTCATCAGACCAAAATACAAACGATAACAACAATCAAGGTGCACTTCATTATGTCGCACTAACAGAAACAGCAATTCTACAATCTTTGTAGTATTGACTAGCTGCTTCTGCAACCAAGTTAGATGCTCCTTGTGAAGATCAAGGCCGAGAAATGCTCTCATCGACATGGACATACGCCCCTCCGCTTAATCATTCCTCCTCATCCATTGTCCGATTATAGTATACCCATTTTTCTCAAACCGTATTGTTCCGGCTATACTACCCACTGGTAAGAAGGTCCCCCGAAACTCTCTAATGGGAATGGGACTCACATTTTGGCAAGTTCTGTGAGGATCCGCCCTTTGCCCCTAATCAATTTAAAACCCCCCTGTTCTGCATACAGTAGATGTAAATGCTATTGCGCGTCAGCATATACAGCCACAAATTCGAATTCTGACTCGTTGTTTGTGTCAGACTCGAATTCTGCCACGATCTTTGTGTTAGACTCGAATTCTGACACAGATCTTACGCGCCGCCCGCGCGAAATTTGCACACGATGGGGTGTTTTTTGTCATGAATATAACATCCCCCCACCCCATATTGAGCCGTACATCCTAAATGACAGATTGGTAGTTGATAAATAAGTGTACCCGGGACTTATAAAACTACTGCCACATATATGTCCAACGTTGCAATTTTTTCCGCATTTGTAGAGAGTCCCCCGGGTCCTATAGCTGGAACGGTAGTTTTCAACTTGGAATGGTGTTTCTTTCAATCACCACTACCGTAGAAGCATTTCCTTTTTCTGGTCAAAAAGAATTCGGTCATACCTTTATTCTCTTGGGAGACCCCTAAGGGCTGGGTTGTTTTTGTTGACATCCTGACTTGACTCAGTTGGATTGTTTGAACTTGCGTTGCACTTGTTTGTGTTGGGCCATTTGTCATTCACAATGTACCATATGCTTCCAACCTAATAAACCATTTTCACCAGACAGGTTTGGTCATTCCTCCTCCCATCAACAAATCTAGCACGGACGCTCTTATCCCTTACTAGAGGCACAAGAAGAAGCACTTGAAGTTTTGGTAGACCTTGAAAATGGTTCGCGACGATTTGCTGGGGGGGGTTGTAAAAGCGTGGAAGAGTTGCTCACATCTGATATTTTGCAGCAGCAAGGATTGGTGGTGGGGTGGCAAATATCCGTGGCAAAAATGGATCCGAACCCTGTTGGTGGATAGTGGAATTTCCAGTCGCTTGCCAGATTAGACATTGATCTGAATGGTGTAGGTTAAGGACCGGGTGACCTGTAGTGCTCTGCCTTTCTTTATCGCCTCGGGTTTTGTGTTGCATTAAGAGTGGCATGTTATGTGCATATGGCACGAAAAGGATGGAGATATTAAAGTGCATAATGAAAAGCCTGTTTCTTCGATAGTAGATATGTCGAGCAAGAATGGTGAGGGCCCTTCTCTCTCATGCACATTCACATCGCTTGAGATTTTGCCTTTCTTAAAAATGTGATTCGGAAAGATTGCGAGGGCCTGTGAGGTTGCTGCAGAGATTCCCGGTTCCTCCTTCCATACGCTGCACCTTTAGCAGTGGTCGACGGCACTGACATTCCTCTGCCATCATTGTCATCAGCATAGCTAATTGTCAACGCAACGTCCTTCTTCCTCTGCAACAGCCGCTTGGTATCCATAAGATCTCCGTTGCCCCATCTCCCTCTTCTGCCTCATATGGTCAGGCTCATTGTCTCTCTATGAACGATTGCATCCAGCAAACCAGTGACTACCTCCCTACCATCAGAGCCACATGTGTAGATGCTTGGTCATCCTTTTGGTTCAGATGGTGAGGAGGTCAAGTGTGGTTGAAGGTATACCTTGTTTAAACGGAGAGATGGAGAGGTGTGAGAATCAGTGAAGTATCAAAGAAAAGCATAGATGAAAAGTGAAAGTTAAGAAGGAAGTGAAATCAAAATAGCTCTCTGTGGAAAGCAAGGACAATAGGTGCAAGAGAGTTGTGTCGGTAGATATTCTGTTCAAGTATGGGGTGCCTGGAAACTGGAAACAGGAATGCATTTCCGAAGGACACAAAAATTCTTACAAAGGATCCGCTTTGTAAAGCAACGTTCTTATATACATGGTTAAGAACACCCGGAAAGGTGTATGGAGAGAATAGGTGGATGGAGTATGCCCTGTCAAGGTTCGCACTTCCCGGCCTTGATCTTCACTTGGTCCGGAATGCACACTCTGGTGGCTTTGACGAGCTTATCGATGCAATCGTACCCGTTGGTCCTCCTGTAGCACCCTTTGATTCCACGGAAGTACTTGACCTGCAGGCCAGTGCAGCGGTCGCCAGTCCCAACCACGTACGCACGAGTCTTGGGGCACACTCCTTGCGTGAAGCTGAACGAGCTGCCTATGCACGCCTGCTCTTGCCGTGCAGTCAAGTGTGCGTGGGGAGGAGGGGGAGAAGGGGAAAAAGCAAGGGGGGAAAGAAGCAAGGCACAAGGGTGGTTAGATAGGTCCTTGAGTAGGTAGATAAGTAGACAGGAAGGATGGTGGGTAGATTGGTAAATAGGAAGGATGGTAGGTAGACAGGTAGCTAGCTAGATAGGTAGGTGGGCAGGTAGGTAGTTAAGTAGCTGAAACGATACTCATGGTGGTGGGTGTGTGCATGCTGAGTGAGAGGTGGCAGGCAGTGCAGCACAGACGGCTCTAGTGGTCTTGAGGTGTGGATTCGAGTTGCAGAGGGGAGATATGGAATGAAGGTGTGGAGGTGTAGAGGGGAGGGGTGGAGACGAGAACCAAGCAACAGCCAGGCAAGGCAACTAATGGATGCCGTTGCGTTACACTAGGTGGAAATTGAAGCGCATAGCTAGGGTCTGGTTAAACTGTGGAAAATCGAGACAGGAGGATAGGGGCAGGGAGGAGGGAGAAAAGGGAGCAGGGTTAAAATGGGGGAAGGGGGAGAGCATGGAAGTTGGAAGAGGGTGGGAAAGGGGAAGGCTGGGCTATGAGAGAAACAGGGTGGTGTGAAGGAAGGGTGCAAGGAGGGCAGAGGCAGACCTCGAAGCCTGTGATGCTACTGACATCAGTCTTGGGCACGAGGCGGCTGCACTTGATGCCGGGGTTGAGGCGGAAGAACTCGAGAGGGGAGAGCGGCGGGGAGGGCACGGAGCGGATCTGGTCACACGTCTCCCCGGCCTGCACCAGATAGAACTGCGAGCACACCGGGATGAGCAGCGCCGCTGCACTCTCCGCCCGCCGCTCCACACACACCGCCTGGCTGCCAGGCAGCTCCCCGCTGCTGCTGGAGCAGTCCAGCCTGGGGTTGAGCGCCTGGAAGGCTGCTGCACAAGTGGGAACTTGAAAAGGACAGCCGGTGGAGAGAGAGAAGTAGGCTGCTAGTGACTCACACGTGTCGCCCTGATGGGAGGATGGTGGACGGGAGGACGAGAGGATGAAGCAGGGGAGGGAACAACAGAAAGGGAAGACCAAAACATGGGTGAGGGGAAGAGAAGAACATGGGATGCAAGTGAAGGCTGGCCTTGGGAGTCTGTTGGAGAAGGGGCATGTATGAACGAGGGGGGCATTGCAAAGGAGCGGAGGGTCTGGCAGCTCTCCGCTCTCGCTGGCCACTGGAGCAGTCCAGTTCGGGGTTGAGAGGCCTGGAAGGCTGCTGCACAGGGATCGGTGGGAGTAGGGCAGCCAGCGGTGAGAGAGAAGTAGGTGGCTAGCGACTCGCATGTGTCACCCTGGGGGATGGGAGGGGGGTGTTGGGGGGAAGAAGGAGACGGGGGGAGAATGGGGGAGGAGAGCGGAGGATGAGAAGAAGGGATGAAAGATCACGACGAATGGAGAAAAGGGGAGGGGAGCACGTGGAAAGGCAGTCCAGGGTTGTTTATGTTTTCAGCAAAAGCGCTAGGAGTTCGACCTTTGGCAGTTCCAACTGGTGGAGAAAGAGAATTAGGCTGGGGGGGAGGACGTTGAGAGGGGAGGAAAAGAGGAGAGCAAGAGGGTGGGACAGGAACAGGACAAGGAGAAGGAGCGCACTAATGTGAGGGTTGGGAGTAGATAGAAGAGCGAGGAGGGGCACAGAGAAAATGAGGAAAAGAGGGTTTAAGACACGGAAGGCTGCAGTGGGAGGGAGGCAGAAAGAGGGAGGGAAGGACTGTTGGTGCAACCCTACGGTGGCTTGTTGTCCGTGTGCGTGCATGCGTGTGTGCATGGAATGGTATGAGGGCATGAGATAATATATTTTTCATGCTTATAATAGTGTGTGAATGTTGAGTCATGATGACGAATGTGTGTGTCGAGTCAATAGCGAGTTATCGCTATTCGCGTGTCACGCGGTCGTTTGTATACCGTGCGCGGTTTCTATTTTGTTGTGTTTCCCGTGCACGGTTTCTATTTTGTCGTGTGTGGAATGTTCGGCATGTCGCTGGTGTGTGCAGCAGACCCATCAAGAACTCAAGGATGAGTTTATGATGAAGAACCGGAGCCTTGGTGTCAAGATTCAAGTGATCGCGAAGCCCGCGAAAAGGGTACACCTCAAGATTTTGAGAATAGTTACATTACTTTGTGTAGTGTAACATTTCACTTGGTGTAGGCCCTTGTGAAGGGTAGTTTCAAGACCCTTCTTGGTTGGGGACAGTGTGGCACTGTTCCACATCACTGTACCTCGGCTCTTGGGGTTTGTAGGAGCTGGGAGTCATTCCCAACTCGTAACTCTTCCTAATTTGTGTTCTAAGACCATAGTGGTTGCCATAGTGTCGTTCGTTCTGTGTCGTCATTTCCTAATGAAATTGTGCGATCAAAATTGCCTATTGTAGACAACTTAAAGACGCTCCAGATCCAAGTTGAATCAGATCATTTGAAGCTGTGACCAAAACGCTATGAACGTTTAAAGCCGCTGTGCAGAAATCCGACTGTGCACTCTATCTTTCGTTTTTAGGCACATTCAAGCTTATTGTGACTATAACAAGGACGGGGGGAAAGAGGGAGCGGAGGTGCATGGAGGGAGGGAGGGGAAAATGGGGTTAGGCCAACCAGGGACGTGGTGTAGTAGACGGAGCAAGGCGTGAGATCGGCTGGCTGGACCACGTTCACCACCGTGCCAACAGCGAGAGGAGCACTGCAGCTCAGATCCTGGAGGGGAGGGGGAGTAGAGTGGGCAGTGGAGGGCGAAGGAGATGAAGGATGTAAGACGTGGTTGTTTATGGGTGGGGATGAGACGTGTAGAGTGTTGGCAGAGCCTTGTAGGAATGTAAAGGGGAGACTCAACAAGCAGCAGGAAAGCAAGGGCTCACCAGGTCTGGGCATGGAAGGATGCTCACGGGGTTCCGGGCTTGCAGGTGGGCGAGAATCAGGCCGTAGACGGTTTGGATGTCGGCACACGTGACACCCCACGACACCACCGTGTACGCGGAGATAACTCTATCAACGGGAACTAGACTACGGGCTAGGCACGGGGTAGGAGGGATCTCTGCGTTCGTTCGTTCCTTAGTCGTTTGCCTGTGCTTGCACTACTTGCTGGTTCATGGGGGAAGTTGGCAAGAATTTCACTAGCAAAGGTTGAGAACAATAGTTCAGAATGATAGCAACAACATTGGCATGCAAGACTACATCAGACCTAGCAAAGCTGCTGGTCGACTTCCAGCGCAGCATGGTCGACCGCGCTCCAGCAGAGCAAAGTCGCGGCTTGCCAATATTGCAATTCCATGGTGTGCCAACGCTGCAGCAAGTCGGCTGCACAGCGTTGCACTCGCAGGACAACGGTGCACCTGCTTCGCATGTGCGTGAAGCTGGTTGGTGCACTTTCCTTTGTCACGTGCACAGCGCAGACGCCCAGCTCGACTCCACGTCAGCGACTGCGCCCACCAGCCATGTCGACCTCGGGATACCACCACCAAGGTCGGTCTCGCCACTACCACGTGGGCGACCGTCGCACTCCTTTGCAGAACCTCGTCATCCAGGTAACCTGGTCGACCAGGCAACCACCATGTCGACCGTCTGCTTCCTCTTGTGCCCGTCGACCTCCCAAGTCGACGACCACCTTCAGTCGACCTCACCAGGTCGACCACAACCTTGGTCGACCAGCTCCAGGTCGACAACCCTCCTGGTCGACCAACTCCAGGTCGACTAGCACACCTGTCAGCCGACCACACTAAGTTGGCTTCCCCTGATGAAGTGTCCCAGCACCCAGGTCGACGTCCAGGCGCCTAGGTCGGTGTCTGGGTGCCCAAGACGCCGTGCAGACGCCCAGGTCGGCGTCCAGGCGCCCAGGTCGGCGTCCAGGCGCCCAAGACGCCGTCCAGACGCCCAGGTCGGCGTCCAGCCTCCCAGGACGCCGTCCAGGCGCCCATGACGGAATCCTCCTGCTTGGCGCCCTCCACCTGAGCGCCCTCACTGCAACTACTGATCGGCTGCGCTCCCCGCACACCCGAATACGAAGTCGGCTCCGCCCAAGCGAGGACGGGGCCAACCACAACTCAGGCGCCCATGACGGCATCCTCCTGCTCGGCGCACTCCAGCTGAGCGCCCTCACTGCAACTACTGATCGGCTGCGCTCCCCGCACACCCGAATACGAAGTCGGCTCCGCCCAAGCGAGGACGAGGCCAACCACAACTCCCGTTGACACTCCCCTTCCGCGTTCACGCTTGGGCCCCCAGCCCATACGGCAGCACCACTCGGAGAATAGCACGTCGGCGTGCACCCCTCACACAGCACGCCGGTCACCGCACCAGCCATGTAAGAGGGCATGGCACCTACTGCTGCACGTCGTTGTCACCGTCGCCCACGTCGACCAGGCGCACTTGGCCGATTGCAACGGAGCACCGGTTGAAGGCCGGGTAGTGCAGCGCCTTCGTCAAGAAGTCGGCTGGCTGCTCAGCGGTCGGGATGTACCTCAGTGAGAACTTCCCACGCTTCACCATATGTTGCAGCCAGGCTTGTCGCCGTTCCATGTGCTTGAGGTTGCCTGTCAACCCCATGCCCTCGGCGACTATGATGGCCGACTTGTTGTCCACCCGAAGGACAGTCGGCGTCCTGGCGTCCAGCTGCCGGAATTCTGCAAGAAGAAAACGAAGTCGACGTCCCTCCTTGCCGGCTTCTGTTGCCGCCACATACTCCGACTCGGTCGACGACAGTGTCGCGCACTTGATGCGCTGGCTCGACCAGGAGACTGCGGCCCCTCCGTAGACGAACACGTAGCCGCCCGTGCTCGTCCGGTTCTGCTTGTCGCCGGCGTCGTCGGCGTCCACGTAGCCGACCAGCTTCAGCGACTCTAGTCCACCGCCAAACTCCAGGGCGGTGTCACGGGTGTTGGCGAGGTAGGCGAGGCAGCGGTCGACCTCGCGCCAGTGCTGGTCGCTCCTCACCGTGAGGCCGCTCCCCAGCTTGCTGCAGGCAAAGGCGGTGTCCGGCCTTGTCGTTGTCGCCGCAAACTGCAGCGAGCCGACCTTCTGCCGGTACTCCTCCTCCTGGCGCTCCTGTGCCTCTTCGTCGTCGAAGGTGAGCTCTGCATAGGCGTCGACCGAGACCGGCGTCTTCGGGGTGCGCCCAGTCTGCTCCTTGTTGAGAAAACGCCTACGAAGCTTGTCTGCATAGCCCTGCTGGTGGAGCCACAGCTTCCTCGCCGACCTGTCGCGCACGATCTCCAGCCCGAGGTACTTCTGCACCGGCGAGATCTCCCGCCGCTCGAAGGCGGCCTCCAGCAGCTCCTTCAGCTCCTTCAGCATCTTGGCACTGCTGCTGGCGACGAGAAGGTCGTCGACGTAGACCAGCACCCAGCAGGCCACCTTGTCGACCTTGAAGTACAGAGCCTCATTGACCTGGCTCTTCTTCCACCCGGCGCCGACCAGAACGTCGTTGAGCGCCTTGTACCACAGCAGCGGCGACTGCTTCAGCCCGTACAGGCTCTTCAGCAGCTTACATACCCGGCCGGTCCCGTCACTGAAGTGGTCCGGCTGGTACATGTTTAGCACCCGGTCGAGCTTGCTCTGCAGGAAGGCGTTCTTCATGTTGAGCTGCATCAGGTTGAGTTTGAGCACGGCGATGATGATGAGGAAGATCCTCAGCGTGACATAGCTGCTCACCGGCGCGTACGTCTCGTCGTAGTCGGCACCATACCCCTGTGTGAAGCCCTTCACGACCAGCCTCGCCTTCTCGCGCTCGACGGTATCGTCGATGCGGTACTTCGTCATCAGCACCCACCGGTTCTTCATGATGTTCACCCCAGGTGGGCGTTCGACCAGCTCCCAAGTTCCCATGCTGATGAGGCTGCGGATTTCCTCCTCCATGGCGGCCTTCACCGCCTTGCCCTTCCAGCTTGCCAAGGCCTCCTTCACCGTCATCGTCAAGATGTCTCAGCGGTGCTCGGGGTCGGCGTGCATGTCGGGGTCGAGCTCTGGCAAGTCGTCGTTCTCCTCGGCGTCGTCGTACAACAGGTCGTCGTCGACCTCGTCGTACACGGTGGTGAAGGCAGCCGGGACAAAGAAGTCAGGCGGCCTCCGAAGTCGGCCTGTCTTCCGTGGTCCGACTTCCACCACGTTGCTGTCGGTGGACTCCTCGGCGTCCGCCTGCTCGGTTTCCTCTTCGCTGGCGTCACCGCCCTCAGCATCCTGGTGCACCATAGCCGGCGTCCCTGCCGACTTCTCCCCTGTGGTTGGCTCTCCTGCCGACTACCCTGTCGTCGACTGCTCCTTGGTTGACTTGGCTGCTGCCTGCTCCCCTGTCGGCTGGTGCC